TAAGGTGAGTTTTTAAGTCCATAGGAACGCATTATACACGTTTTAATGCGTTCCTATGGGCTTTTTTGTTCCACATAGTGACGAATCCATATAGTGATGATTTTTTCGGAATGGATTATCATCGCTATGAGGGGCACCACTGTACATATTATATACATATATACATATACTATATATTTCGGTCCCTAAAAGCCCTTAATGCAAGTAAAATGAATAAAAATAAAATTAAAATGAATATCAGGTAAAACAAAGAAAACAAAAATATGTGGCACCTTAAAGACTAACTACAATAGGATCCATGTATCGATGGAATCAGTAAACATGGTTTCAGTTATCCATTGTCTCAAAATATTAAAAGAAAAAAATCTAGAAAAATCTATTTCCATATGTATTACCAGAACCAGACACTAGAGGGAGGCAGACAACGTGCTATGAATACTTGTTAGTTAAGAATACATAATATGGCCGCTGGCACACTCTTGTGGCCAGTTATGACAAAACACTACAAATATTTTTTTCTTGTTTTTTTTTCCTTTTATAATTCTACCCATCCATCTATCTAGTGTTTACTATTATCCAGAGTTTTCAGTATCCGCAGGGGCGCTTGGAGCCAATCCCAAGTGGATATGGGCTCCTAATGTATTAAATTTTAATCTGAGCTTCCATGGACAAGTCCACTTCATCAGACATAAGGAAACAAAATGAAATAATGGATGAAATATCAGTTTTACAAGTAGAACATTCTGAATATTCATTGGCTGTAGGAGTCTTGGGTGTGTGATATATCTCACAAACAATAATTTGTGGCCCACGTTTGGTGACAAGTAGATCATTGCCTCTGAGTATTAATTCTGGCCCCTAAGTGGGTCAATTCTTGGGAAAGAGAAACCTGACTGACAATAAGAGCCCATTGCTCATCAGACACACCAGGATCAAGATAAGTGTCCTTGACCTTCATTGGATTTCATTGGCCTATCCTACAACTTGTTCTGGGCTGTTTTGAGCAATATTGATTTTTCTCCCTTGAATGAGCACTGACGGGCTGTTCTTGGGATGTTTTGATGCTTTTTGCGTTGATGCCTTCTAGTACGATAGGACAGGTGAATTTTGTTGGCTTGTCCTTTATGGCCTACGTTTGATATTGGGTTCTATTGTAAACATAATGAAAACATTGTTTGAAACCTTGCATCGAAGTGAATCAATTAAAAACAATACAATGAAAGAAAGACCACCATCAAGCAGTTAAATACGACATGGGGGAGTTTTCTTGGAGTGAGTTGGACTCGCAGGTAAGAAATGCTTGATCTCTGAGCAATCATGTTGAGAATCCCACAGCCAGTATGATCATGGGAAGTTCTGGACTTCCAGCTAAAGAAAAATAAACACTTCCCATTTCTGAACAGACTGTCTTGCTCTGGGGACTATGATTACCCCTTCTCCTTAGCAGCTATGTCTTTCTAGGGAATCAGACAGCTTGCTTTCCTAGTCATATTTTAATACCTCTAGTCTTCCCTGTTCTGTTTCCTTGAAAGTGGGGGATGCTTTTTCCCCTCTCTGGTTGAGTGGATTCTGAGGCTGTCACTCCTGGGCCTCTACTAGACCAGGAGAGGTGCCTTTAAGGGGGTGCCTGTAAGTGACCTGGCTGATGAGCACCATCGGTGAGAAGGAGAGGGGTAGGTGGAGGCTGGGATAAATGAGGAAGATGAGGACAACCTGTGGGCCACCTTCTGAGAAATGGCAGAAGAGATGGGACTTCAGAGGATCAGGAGATAGGGGAAGAAGCTGTTGAGGCTTGGGATCCCAATTCTGTGTCTCAGCTGAGAAGGATGTTTTCCTATCCAGTGAAGTATCTCTTCATTTTTACTCCACCAGATAACCTGGCAGTGACGTCCAGAGGTGGCTGTTGTCTGACGGTTCCATGCAAGAACACCCTCTTCTTCTGATGCATTGTAGTAAAATACCATATTTTTCCATGTATAAGACGCCCCCATGTATAAGACACCCCCCACTTTTCTAACCCACAATTAAGAAATCTAAGTGGAGCTTAGCAAGTGGGGGGCCAGCAGGGATCAAAAGCCCTGCAGGATCACCTTGATCCCTGCTTGCCCCTCCACTTATTTTTGTTCTTTCCTCAGCTTCCGTGTATAAGACGACCCTCAATTTTTAGTCTAAAGATTTTAGACAAAAGTATAGTCTTACACATGGAAAATATAGTAAATTTTTAGATTCTCTTGTTTCCACTTTTTGCTGCTGGGACATCTACGACTGGCGGCCAGGAATTGTGATCTTCTGCCAGAGGCTGTCATGATACTGTTTGTAGCACCTCAGTCTTTGGGGGATCCTGAGCACGTAAAAAAAAAAATCAAGCAACATTGTTATACCTTAGTTTGTCACTGACTAAAGTGACATAGCGCAATATCATTATGTACTGTTCAAGCATTCAATATTTCCCCCAGTTGCATCGTTGTTGAGACCAGGTGTTCTCGACATGGTTTTGATCCCATTGAGGACTCCTTCTCAGATTCCAGGACTCCCTGTCAAACAAGCATACAACAAGAACAAATGAATTTTTAAAAAAGAATAGAATTGTTTTCAATCTGTGCCCCCCTTCAAATGTGCCAGGTCTGTAGCCCCCGTTGAAAATGGCTGGTTTAGAGATGCAATGCCCAAAATCAAGCCACGCAGAATGATGTACAACTTCCAGGAGTGGAGAAACAAAATAAAGATGTAGTCAGTAAATTAACTAAATGTTGGGAGCCTCCATAAGACATAACTCTGTATTGCTTTCCATTCCCATGGATATTAAGGTATATAACTGCTGGATAGCTGAGTGGTTTAGATCTCTGGCTGTGGAGCCAGAGGTTGGGAGGGATAGCTGAGTGGCCAGAGGTTGGGAGTTTGATTCCCCCCTGAGCATCCTTGACAGGGACTGGACTCCATGATCCATAGCGTCCATTCCAGTTCTGCAGTTTGAAGATTATGTTATATCATATTTGTAGCACATAACAGGACTCAAGGCAGCATACATGTTATCATACGACAGAAGAAAATATCATTCTGCACAAGGCCTCCCACTGTGAAACAACCCTGGGAGAGCATTGCTGTTTGGCCACACCAAACCACAAACCAGCCCGATTTGTTTGTTCTGGTTCGTAGTTCAATCTGGGGCCCATCTCTACTCCCAACCTCTGGCTCTGCGTCTGGGGCCCATCACTACTCCCAACCTCTGGTTCTGCAGCCAAATATCTAAGCTACTGAGCTATCATGTGGTCCACAGGCTTCATATGAGTGATATCTGAGGTCCTATGTGAAGAACAGTGGTTCCCAACCTTGGGGTCCCCAGATGTTCTTGGACTGCAATTCCCAGAAGCCTTCAGCACTAGCTGTGCTGGTCAGGATTTCTGGGAGTTGTAGTCCAAGAACATCTGGAGACTCAAAGTTGGAAACGGCTGGGCAAGATGCTTTGAAGAACCCACACCATCTTCCTATCTGCTGTGGTGTCACAACTGTCAGGCGGAGGAGTGTGTTGGAACTGATTATTTTATTAATCACAGGCAGGAATCTACAGAAGAGCAACTTAGAGAAAGATAAACAGATATATCTTCAAAGTCAACCAAGGAAGCAGTGTTGTGTATATCTTCTGTCTTTGCCACGTTCTTTTTAGGAAGGAGACATGGGGCTTTTTAGTACTATTTTGTTTTCGGCAGGAGGAGTGATCATCATCGGTTGCTTCTTGCTATACTTTTGGGCAATTCTTTATGATCTCAGATGGACTCATATTCCTCCCGAATTTGATCATCCATTAAAGCTTCGCATTATTCACTGGAGCTTCATTTTGATCCTCCATGTGGTAAGTCTGCCACCCTCTGTTAAAGTTGGGTTGTAGAGTTCAAGAAAAATCGGGGCACGGTGTGTATTTAGCATAAGACCATGGGTTTTGAAACAGAAAGTGTATCTAAATCTCTTGTTGCTTTGTCTGCAGTGGTATTCGTTTTCTTTATACCTATCAGTGAAGTCTTGAAAAATATGGATACGATATTGTAACAGTAGAAATGGGAGCATGCCTTCTATTGTAAAGGATAACGGACACACAACAAACACATACAATCGTAGTACTCCTTTGACATACTTTCAGGCAAGGAAAGCATTAAGTCATTTTCCAGATGGCTATGGAATTTGGTAGGTTTCTGAAAAACAAAACAAATCAAAAGCAAAACAATAACAAAAAAAACTTAAGTGCTGTATAAAATCCCTCTGTGCCAACCACATTTAATGAACACAGTGAATTCTAGCATGGTGAGGATGGTATTGTATTTATCTATTTTGCTTCCGTCCTTCTACCTATTCGTCATCAACACCTTCCTTCATTTGTTTTATTGTCTTTCTTCTGTTAAAGGGTAACAGCTTATTGGAGACAGCTGAAATCAGAGAGGTCCAAAATCACCCTTTTAAGAACTTCATATTCATAGCCCTAGTTAACCTGTCAGTGACACTTCTCCCATGCCCATTTAAAACAAGAACGGAAAGGAAAAATAAGGAATCACATGTTGTATTCGTGAAGGCTTTCATGGCCAGGCTCTAATAGTTATTATGGGGTTTTTGGGCTCTTTGGCCGTGTTCTGAAGGTTGTCCTTCCTAACGTTTTGCCAATCTCTGTGGCTGGCATCTTCAGTGGACACCACTCTGTGCAGTTTGTTTGGGAGTTGAGTATTTATGGCTGTGAGATCAGCTTTTGTCCTTTTCAGGAGATGGGTGATTATGGTGATCAGTGTGTTTTTGTTGTGGATGGTTTGTTTGCCATTAAGCAGCTCTGCCACTAGTTGGGTGGGATAAAGGAACGAACAAATGACCAACCGACAAACTGAATGAACAAACACTACCACCCCCAGGTGGGCCGAATGAACAAACACGCGAGTGAATGATCAAACGAGCAAACAAACGACTGACAGAACATACAAACGAACAAACAAATCAATTGCTGGTGGGATTTTTTGCCTCAGGTGCCAAATTTGTTCTCAAATTCTTTCTTTCCTGTGCATCACTTACACTTTTTCAGTGCAGCTGTTCTGTTCATCTTGGCAGGCTACTACTCTTTAAAAAGAAGAACTAATCACATTTCTGTGGAAAAACCAAGAGCTTTGCTTGTCTGTTTGGCCAGGATATGAGAGAAGTTTAACACAATGGATGAGTGCATTTTGATTCAGAATTACTCCAGACAATGTGAATCAGAATCATTTAGCCATATTGGTTCCCTAATAATGGCAGTTTTGGTCCAGAAAAATAACTTCTATAAACTCTGGTATTTATATCTTTGATAATGAAGTAATTGGCGTGTATCACAAAATGGTGGATGGCGAGATATCTTCAGAGCAACTAGAAGTTAATAATTTGATGCTCGGTGAGATAAGAATGTCAAACCTGCTGAGAGCAGGCTAATTCACACACACCACCTGCTAACACAATTATAGGCTTCGGTCATTGTGTGGGTTGGAAAAACCAGATACACAAGTGTAGTGTCGGCTTCAAAGCTAAAAATGTAATAATATCATAATAACCCTCATCGTCACGTTCAGCTCCTGTCAGGGAGACACAGTGGGGAATTGAACTCCGAACTTCTGACTCTGCAGCCAGAGGCCTACACCATATTAAAAAAAAGCCAAGCATGAGTCAACTGTGGCTAACAGAGAGACAGATGACAGAGAAAGAGCCAATGACATGGTAGGCTGTATCAACAAAATGTCCAGACCAAGGTAAATAACCTGTTGCTGTGTGCTGAAAAAAAAAGCCAATGAACCTATCACTAGACACTTTTATCAACATTTCAAACATTTCTAATGAAAGATTAGGAAAACCTTCCTAATGGTACTGTTCAAGAGTGTGGGTTTGTGAAGAGAGACTGGACAGCCATCGGTCAGGGATAATTATCCTCTTGTTTCCCTGCGGTGGCAAGTGTCAATGTGAGGAGGTGACAGGTAGAGCCTCTAACCATGGATTCCATGAAGTTCAAGAGTCTTGTTACTACTGGTTTGCATTGAGTTGAAGGAACAGGGTTCAAAAATGGTTGGGTGCCAGGTGTATCAGCTCCAGACTGACCTCAGCCAATGGATACCCTTCAAGGAAGGCCATCATGCAATAGGCTGCCCCGTCCTCCAAGCCTGTTCTGCCCCTGATGGATCTGCTGATGTTCTGCTTGCATCCAGCTGGTCACTGGAGGGCTGATGATCAGACGGCCTCCCCCATGTCCTTGCCTTTTAGTGGGCTGGAACTGGACTGATTCCTTGGCCAAGCGTTCTCAACTACCAGCGGTCAATCCTCCCCCTAAAGCACTGCTCCCCAACCTTGGGCCTCCAGATGTTCTTGGACTTCAACTCCCAGAAATCCTGGCCAGTAGAGGTGGTGGTGAAGGCTTCTGGGAGTTGTAGTCTAAGAACAACTGGAGGCCCAAGATTGGGGACCACTGCCCTTGGTCAATCCTCCCCCTAAAGCACAGAAGATAAGGCCTGGTTCTTCCTCCGCCACCTCCTGTTCCTCTCCCTCAGAGTCCATCAAGTCCATCCACCTCCTCCTTAAAGTCTGGGTCCCATCATTTGTGGGGCTATTTTGACATGAGATCCATGAGCCTTTGGAAGGTGGCTATGGCCCTGTGGAGCCCAAAGGGCATGTGGGCAAAGTGGAATAAGCCCTTGAGAGTACCAAAGGCAGCCTTCTTCTAGTCTTCCTACCTCTGCGAAAATCAGCCAGTAACCCTTTGCTAGGTCAAACAAGGTCAGGTAGTGGGATTTTCCCAGTTATTCTAATACTTGGGGCATACATTGGGCATCAAATTTTGATTCAGGCAATGAAAATTGATGCAAAAATCAGACACTGCCATCCGTTTTGGGCCCCAACAGAGACTCACCACCCTAAGGCACAACATGTTATCTACTTTGTCCTCAATTCCTTTTCATAGCAGCCAAGGCCCAGCAAGGTCCACCCATACTACGTCACCATCTCAATAGCCTGCTTTAACAGGTTGGTCCTCATGTGGGTGCTGGAAAACACACCCCAAATTTCCTCTCTGAGGACTTGCACCTGGCACTGCCTGGTGTGGGTTGAGATGCTCCCTCAGTGACAGCCCCAGCTTTTTGCCTTGCTCCACTAGCACTGACCCAGGCCTTAGGCCCCAGACTAGAGCTCATAATCCACAGGGTGCCTCGATGCACCACTTCAATGGGCTCTTCACCCTGAGTGAAAATCTTGGCTGTGGACAATGGCAGGAGAAGCAGGATCTTTTGCTGGAGTCTGTATCAAAACCAGGAGTGGACACCCAGGATTGAATCTGAAGGTTGCATTGATTCTTCTGCACACACAGAGCTCATCCTAAGATTTCTTTAGCTAACCCAGGGGCCATCTGCAATTGTATTGCCGGCTGTACCAGGGGCAGAAATTATCCTGTTCTTCCTCCCGCTTCTCTCTCAGGGGGTTCCGGAGACCTTGGGGCCAGCTTCCATACAGCAATTCAAAAACCACAAACTTCATCGAGGCCTGCAGAATCTCACTCATGGTGAACATTACGTGATGGGGAGTGGAAAATGAACTTATTTGAGCAAAGCAGAGCCGGGACAACTTGTAGCCATTGGGAGGGGAATTGAAGATGCTTTTGGGTTGGGCAAACCACATTGAGCTCCATCTCCTTGCACCCTAGTAGGATAGAGGCAACAAATATGCAGTAAATAACTGCTGTGTTGTCATTTGTCTCCAAACAGGGGAAGATTGCTCGGATCCTGCACCTCCACCAGGAGCCAGTCATCATCAATTTCTTTCTACGGCTCAGGAAGCCTAAGGCCCATCCCAGCATCTCCTCCAAAGACATGTGTTTCGATGGGGTGCCAGTCAGACTTTACCAGCCCAAGGCGCCCTCTGCTGGCAGAAGGAAAGGATTTGTTTTCTACCATGGAGGGTGTGGGTTGTTTGGAAGTATCGGTAAGCCACTTAGGCCACAGCCGTCTATATGTTTTACTCAGAATATATAATTCAATTCAATTGGAACTGGAGATGTGAACCACTGGTTTTGGGCTGCCACAGAAGCTCAAGGATCTTCATGTCCTAGAACGTCTGAGATCCTCCTCAAAAAAAGTGCCCGCTCTTTCTCACCTCTATTTCTAATGTCAACAGGAAAGAGTGATTGTTTTGTTGCTTCGGTGGATTGTCTTCACATAGACATTGTAGTGCTCACCACAGATGGCCTCATTTTCCTATAAAAAGATCTGCTATGTTTCGTGCATTGGTGTAGGATTCTCTCCCTTCCTGTTACATTTTTGGGAACAAGTGCCATTCTTACACTTTTTAATCATCCCAGGGACCCTCAGCATAATTTTGTGAGCTCGGAAACACCTCTTTAAAATACAGTGGTGCCTCGCTAGACGATGATAATCCGTTCCACTGAAATAGCTGTTTAGCGAAATAATTGTCTAGCGAAAAGCAAATCGTCATCTAGCGAAAATTGGTTTGCGAAGCAGGGACCAAACATTGTCCGGCAAAATTCCCCCATAGGAATCACTGTTTTGCGAATCAAAAAGTCAGTGTCTAGCGAAAAAACTGTCATGCGGGGTAACTGTCTAGCGAGGCACCACTGTATGGGAATCCCATGGTGCTGATAACTGATAAATCTAATAAGATCTCATACATCTTGCGAGACTAGAATTTTTCAGTGAATGCTTTATTTTTCTTTGCAGGGACCTATCAAAACATTTGCAGCAGGATTGCAAAGAACAGTGATTCAGTGGTCGTCTGCGTTGGGTAAGTGAATTCAATCAAAGTAAAGACATTGGAGGGAAGGAGTTATATGTTTTCTCTAATCGGCTTCAATCAGAAGTCTGGCTGTCCTCTTTTAGACAGGCTAAAGTTTCCGAACGTTGTTCAAAGGCAGTTCCATGCGGCGTGCACTGCATTGTTCTAATCGGGGTGTAACTAAGGCTTATACCACCATGGCCAAAGAAGAAATGTCTAGCAAAAGTTGGAGTTGGAACGCTAGCTGTGCAAATGTATTTCTGGACATCACAGAGAACTGAGCATCCAGGCTCGTGAATGAATCAAGGGCAACACCTAAGCTCTGGACCAGATATTCTGAGTGGGAGTCTAACTCCATCCAGCATAGGTTGACTGTCTATTCTCCGATCCCCCTTCTGGCTGACCAGGAGCACCTCTGTCGTGTCTGGATTACACCTCAACCTGCTTAACCTCCCACAGTCTGTTGCTGAATCTAGGCACCGATTTAACACTGAAACAGATTCCTCAGACTTAGAGGGAATGGAAGGCAGAGTTGGTTACCCTCAGCGTACCAGTGCCATTGAACTCCAAAGTTGTGGACAAAGTCTCCCAGTGGTTTCATGTCTATATTAAACAGGGGACAAGGTTCAACCTAGAGAGACAGCATAAGCTGATAGTGAAACTATCAGGCAGGTGGACCCAACACCAACTTCTAAGATGTAATCCAGGAAGTACTGGACCCAAGCATTCACATTCAAATTGACCTAAAAAATGTGTACCACCATCATTTTTTTCTCTCTCTCTCTCCTTCCCTCTTTTTCATTCTCTCTATCATGGCCTGGCCAAGGATCCTGGAAGGTTAATGCTTTGCTTCTCTGTTATGATCCCCCAGGTATCGCCTTGCCCCTAAACACCCCTATCCTACACAGCAGAAGGACTGCTACACAGCAACGGTGCACTTCATGCAACATGCAGAGAACTATGGGGTGGATCCCTCCCAGATCATCATTGGCAGGGACAGTGCAGGAGGCAATTATGCTGCAGCCATTGCCCAAAAACTGGTGGGGAGATCAGACCTCCCCAAGCTACGGGCGCAAGTGTTGATCTATGCGGGCCTCCAAGGTATGGACTTCAACCTACCTTCCTATCAGCAAAATGCCACTTTCCCGCTCTTGTACAGGCATAATGTTGTTTATTACGGCCTGCACTACCTGGGAAAGGACATCTCTCTGAGGGATGACGTCTTGAAGGGATCTCATGTGCCGGAGGCACTGAGGCTGAAATATGGGAAGTGGGTGAATCCTGACAACATTCCAGAGAGATTTAAGCGCCGAGGCTACAAGCGAGTCCCTCTTGCTCCTTTTAAGCCTGAAGTGTACAAGGAATTGTCCGACATCTTGGAAGTCTCTTTTTCTCCACTTTTTGCCGAAGACTCTGTTATCCAACAACTCCCGGAGACTTTAATTGTGAGCTGTGAATATGATGTGTTTCGGGATGACTCTCTCCTGTACAAGAAACGGCTGGAGGACAATGGTGTGAAAGTCAGCTGGTTCCACGTCAAAAACGGGTTCCATGCGGTGATGAACTTGACCAATGTGGGCATTTATACCTTTGCTGCTGGTGTAGAAATACTGAAACAAATTGCAGATTTTGTCAAATGTTTATGAGAAATGCCCTGCCATGTCCCCGTGTGGCAAAAGTGTAAGATGCATATTAAAAATGGCATATATTTGGCATGCTTGTGTTCACTACCTGTGAGATTAAGGCTGAGTGTTTCACAGCTAGGGGGGGGGAAGGAAAAGGGGCGGATCAGTTTAGTTCATTTGTGTCCAAATAGAGCCGTATAAATAACACCTCCCGATTCCATAAGGGCTGTATTTGTTATACAGTCAGTGTGTGAGGGCAGCATAGATGCCCACCAAAATGGCTGCCTATCTCAGGAAGGCACTGAGGGACAGCAGCTCCCTGTCCAATCAGAGATGGCAGTGGTGGGTAGCTCCTCCCACGGGTGGTCAGGATTGGATGATTCAATTCCAGCCCATATCTGAGGGGGTATTAAAGGGGAGTTGCCAGCTTCAGCAGCCATTTGACTCTGGATCTTCTTCTGAGATGGTGGCAGCAGCTGCTAGAGCCAGCGCTGTATTCGGATGGGTGCAAGGCAGCAGTAACACAAACGGGAATAGCCAAGGAGGGAACAGCTAAGCCCGTGGTGGTGGCAACATCACACAAGACCTCAGGGTGGTGCTGCAGTGGGATTGGCAGAGGAAACAAAATGTAGTGTTTAGGCATCTTCAGAGACTATGGTAACATGCTCTGAATAGATGGAGCAGCATCTTGTGTGGCTGAGAAGGCCAATTCCAGAGTGACCATCCCTTCCAGACTGGGGACAAAATACAATCATTCCCCAGTCCAGCTCTCTGATTTTGCTGCTTTCGGGCTGTCCCCAGTCCAGCTGTCTGATTTTGCTGCTTTCGGGACTGCCTCTTTGCCTCGGCCTGCTGGACAAGGGTCTCTTCAAATTGGGAGAGGCCACATGGCACCGCCTGCCTCCAGGCTGAACGCTCAGAGGTCAGGGGAAGATATTGAAGGAAGACGGGGCAGGAGTACTGGGGCAAAGAAGGAAGGTGGTCAATCGCTCATCGTAATAATTTTAGAAAGGCAGAGCTGGAAGGGACCCTCTGGATCATCCAGTCCAGCCCCTGTCAGGGAGGCACGGTCGGGATTGGAACTCCTAACCTCAGGGTCCGCAGCCAGAGACCTAAACTACTGAAATAAGTGTTGCTGTTCTCCACCTAAGTCTGGGACTTCAGTATATAGTCTCCTGCTGTAGGGTCTGAGCGCCTCAAATAATGCTTTAATTCACCTTGCGGATATGTATTTAAGCAAATCTCTGTTACCAGAAGCCCTGGGCCGTTAAGGTCATTCCAGATCTTGAAAGATACAAGGAAAGGGAACAAATAAACTGGGGGTTTCCCTTTGTTCTTTTGCTGAAGGGGAGAAGCGCAATCATTAAGAACCCTTCTTACTGTCAGAAAAGCTTGATTCATTTCTGTGACCACAAGGGGGCACAGAAGGACAAGCAAAAGAGAATTATCTTAGGATGTGACTACATTGTTAAAAAAAAGGTAGGAAATATTATGACTTTGGGGTGAACGGATTCACCTGCGTCTGCTCCAGTATTGCCTAACTTTCCACCCCATCCTACGAAATGGACACCTTGCACCACTGACATCTTCAGTACAGCCACACAAGGCTGACCCACCCCAGAAGAACTGACAAAATTCTTGTTTCCATGGCTTGGCTCTTCTTATGAACCAAACTCGGATGGATTACAGGGACCTTCCTCATCTAACTTGGAGTATCTTGACAGGAAAAGACTAGAACGTAAAATATGTTGGTGATTGTTGTAGATTCATACTCAGAAATCCTGTTGAGTGGGTTCCAGCTGCATACTGGAAATTATATGGCATACCAATGGCAGATGCTGCTGACTAAAGACTTTTTTTTTCAATTTTGGCATGTGAGCAATTTTATCTCCTTGCTTTGGAGCTGAGCAAACCCTGAAAGAAGAATACTTTAATCAGCAGCAATCTGCCACTGGTAGTGACATCATTTTCCTTGCAGAGATGGGGGTTGCCCCGCAGGATTTGGGCCATAGAATGGTAGCGTCGAAAGATATCCTGATGATGATGATGATGACGATATAGCCCAATCATGAATGAATTCACAGTGCCAGCATCCCTGATCAATGGCTGTCTAAGCTTGGATTGAAATAGAGGTTAGATAGCCACCTGTTAGGGACACTGATCTGATTTCCTACTTTGACATGGAGTTTAATATGATGACCCAGGAGGTCCCCTTCCAGCTATACGGTTCTTGCTACTAGGATCCCATATGGCTGTCTTTCTCAATCACAGATACACAGATTATTTCTCTCTCTCTCTCTCTCTCTCTCTCTCTTGGCCCAGCCTGAACTTTCTCTGTGCTGGTAAATTACAGAATCATACCGTTATAGAAGAGTAGAGCTGAGAAGCACCTCAAGGTTCATCAGATCCTTTATCTCATTTTATGGCAGCCTACACTAAAGCCTGTGGTTGGTGGCTTAAGGGAGAGCTTGAGCAAAACCTTGATATGTTGGAAGAAAGAGGCAAGAATCTTCTCTCCCGCAGAGTGCATCTTTTCAGGCAATCAAGAACACGCCAGAGGAAGGGAGGGGAAAGGAATACATGGTTTGGGTGCGACCTGAGAGAACACCCGGTGTATCTTGGCAAAAAGAGAGAGACAGACCCAAACGCTGATGGGAGAAACGCCTCTAAGCAGGTCTTTCTGTCTACTCCACCTATGCAGTGGGAAGTGCCTATGACTCACATCTCTATGCTATACTCTTGCTTGATTGCAGGAAAGCAAAGAGACCTCGTTGTTCGAGAAGTACCATGGTTTTCCTCTTAGCTCTCCTATCCCAGTTCTCAAGCGTTGTAGCCTTTTTTTCCTGCTTGCTGCTAGCATGGGCCCTTTTTTACCATTTCTCCACGACACAAATGCCTTCTGGGATTTGTCAGCCTCTAAAGATCAGAATCCTGCATATTCTGGTGGTCATGGCTTTTAGCCTGGTAAGTTGCTGTTAGTATTTGCTTTTAAACGCCAAGTCTGATCAAAAGAAACTTGACAGGAAGAAGCTGGGAAGAAGAATAAGAGAGCAGTTAGATGCTTGGGCCCACTGGGAAGAACAAATGTTTGCATCTTCATATGCACATGTATGTGCAAGCGTGGGGTGCTGAATCTAATGTTTACCATCTGATTTATACCAAACGTTTGCTTTGTGTTTGGGTGAGAAGTGGTTAATTGTTGAAAAACGGAGTTAGGTTCTGGGATTTCCCCCTGCTTTGTGTCTCTTTGTGAATGGTTGTGAGCACAAAAGGGTATCCTGTAGACCACCTTGACTTGTTCTGTATTCTTTTTAAAATATATTTTAAAATGTTTTTACATCCAGACACAGAATCCCTTTGCAAGCATGAATCTCGGTTTCACCAGGATGGAGTTAAAATGTTTCCCTGAGAGTCAGCTAATTGGGTCCTGACTGACAGGTCAAAAGTTCTGATTGATCCAGGCCTGGAGCTGATCTCCACTTGGAAGACTTGTGCCAGTAACCTAGTCTCAGAAATCCTGAGATAATGTTTACTGAAAGCACTCAAGGCGGGGACAAACATAATTGTGTTTTTGTAATATACAAATTCTTTGAATATGCCTAACAAAATTGTATGCTAATTCTCTGGTGACACATAGCAAAATGTCCCTTTTTCTGGAGAATAGTTACTTTATTGTTTTCTTTGCAACAACTTACTTTTTATTTTACTCTTTAAAGTAAACCTGTCTTTTGACTGTTTCCATGACTTTTCAGTGCCTTACAGCACTGCAAACATTTCCCTTCCCCACCTAGAATGTGACAACTTTGTATCTGCTCTGCATAGCTCTTTCTGACAAGGCTCTTCCACATGTGCTCAGTGTGATAAGAAATCACTGTTTCTTGTATTTGAAAGGGCTTTCTCAGTAATCAATATTGCAGCCCCTATTGCCTGGATTCTTTCCAAATAAAGTAAAATGGGTGGGACTAACCATCTTCCTTCAAGATGAGCAAGACTGGTATTTTTTTAATTTATGTGATCTGCTTTAAATCTGGGAATCACCTCTTTCTGAAGGGGAGGGAAAACAATTTTTTAAAAAAAATCATAACTCAAATATTCTTTTGCCCAACCATCCCCACATTGGGTGTAGAGCATGAGCAACTGTGCCAAATTTGGTACTGATCCAAAGCCCCCCAAAACTATAAGCTTCTGTTTCAGCTGTTCCCATTTTTAGAATTGCCTTATAGAATGTTGATTTGCTCTCCCAGCACAAGATTGTTGCTGTACTCTCATGAAGCAACAATTCACCGGACATCACCTCCAACTGGACATATAATGGCCAAAATCCTGTTCAGCAGCCTGTGCAACTGGAGTGATATTACTGGGAGCATCAGAATCCCTCTGATTCAATGGTTCTTTCTGTGATTTCGAGGAGTATGCAACATCCTTCCATTGTGTGTGAGTTGTGTACATGCCAAAATTGCAAAAGGAAGCTTTTAATCAGCAACCACCTTCAACTGTTATAAGAAGAATCCTAGAACTGGAAGGAACCCTAGGAATCATCGAGTCCAGCTCCTGTCAAGGAAACACAGCAGGGAATCGAACACTGAACTTCTGGCATACCTAACAACTGAGCTATCTAGCAGTTCTATTGATGATATCAGTGCAGGGGTATAGTTGTGCCACCCCACCAGGAGTTGTTGCCATTGATGGATGGACGGCATGGAGGACCTTCTTATTGGCTCTGTCAGATCAGGTCCTCTGTCCACTCCTCTCAAGCTGCCACTGATTCATGTCTCTTCAGAACTGCAAGAGATCCAGGAGACCCCTCAAATATGGCAAAACTGCCTTCCATGCACTATAAATGGCAGAAGGTGGCATTTCCAGCTTTTTCCAAATCTTTTTTGGGGTGTGTCTGTAGCTGCTGCGGGACCCTCACCCTAAATTACCGTATTTTCCATGTATAAGACTATCCTTTTGTCTAAAATCTTTAGACTAAAATTGAGGGTCATCTTATACATGGAGGTAAGGTGAGGAGAGAACAAAAACAAGTGGAGAGGAAAGCAGGGATCAAAGCGATCCTGCAGCGCTTTGATCCCTTTCCCCCTACATTTGCTCAGTCCCACTTATTTTTCTTAATTTTGGATTAGAAAAGGGGGGGCGTCTTATACACAGAAAAATACGGCAAGTGTTTCACAACAACTATTTAATGTCTCACTTTGTTTCCTTCCCCTTGGCCAACAGGGTCATCTTTTATGGAAAATGGGCTTCTGTGGTCGGTTTGCCTTTATGAGGATCGTCACAGATGGAATCCCTTCAGGGAATGACCCGCGGATCTCCATCCAGAATACATATTTTGAACACGTGCCTGTGAGGATTTACCATCCCATAAAGCCCTCTTCTGAGAACAGGAAAGGAATCCTGTTTTTTCATGGAGGAAATGGCACTCTTGGAAGCATTGGTAAGAAAAGTTTGATTGTGTCAACACAGGGGAGTCGAAGTAAAAAAAAGAGATACCTGCGTTGGCGCATGCGTATCTGTGCCAGTGGTCATGCGCATGGACATACAAATCCAAAATACATAGTAAAGGGATATTAGCCAGTAAATGAGCCAAAGGAAGCTGATATTGGCCAGTACGTTATCTAATCAATATACGATAAATAGTGAACTATTAATGCACTACTAATCAATAACTGATCAATAAATTATAAACTCATAGACGAATTAACTTTATTTCCTAATCAAGGTAGGTATCGCCTTAGTAAGTATAATGTTTTTGTACAAGGAAGTCGTTGGTTTAGGTGTTTGGCTGCAGAGCCAGAGGTTGGGAGTTCGATCCCCCCCCAGGGCCTCCTTGAAAGGGGCTGGACTGGATGATCTTTAGGTCCCCTTCCAGCTCTGCAGTTCTAAGATTACTATTACTATATATTTGGAGCAAAAAACATTTTACCTATGAAGGGCCCTCGGGGGTAATCTGTGGAGGACTTCTAGTCCAGCAGTGGTAGCAACAAAACCCAAAGTGGACACTGAATCGTATGAAGGTGGAGTCAGGCCGAAACGGGTGGATTTTGCAAAGTAGGAAAGTTTTGAAAGAAGGCAAAGATAAATAAGAAATAGCAACACCATAGATAACCACACCCACCTTAAAGAGCTTAAACAACTTTTTACTGTCCCCATATCCTTACATTTCTTACCCTAAGAGATGACCAAGGATTGACTCCCCCCCGCACTGCATTTTTAAACATTAAAAACGAGGCACAGTACTGCAGAATCCGCCCGGTATTGCTTCTCAGTGTAGTGAAGAGATGGAGCGGCACTGTCAGAGTTGTGCAGTGTTGCCAAAGGGATGAATTTAGTTTTATTTGTTTTATCTTATTCTGTGGCTTCTCTCCTTCTTGGCAAGAGAAGAAGGCTGTAAATGTTGGGAGTTCTTTTCACCCACAGTAAGATTATATGCTGTCAACAATATTGATAAATCTATGAGGTATCCGCTCAGCCCACACTGCCTTGGTTGGGTTAAGAAATAGTGCTATGAAGTTGCATAGATAGGCTCGGAATGCAAGTTAGTAAAGTTTGCATCAGCTAACGTTTTATTAGCCTCTCCGTAACTCCAGAACATAAACTATCTGTAACAGTTGAAATAGAATCCTTTTTAGATACTCTGGACTGACGGAAAGACGAGGAAGTGGGTCCTAGATCAAATCGAGTCTGAACTATCTCTGGAGGCAAGGATGTAGAAATTGAAGCTGTTCTTACTTTGGGCATGTCAGGAGAAGGCAGGATTCTCTGGAAAAAAATAATACTGGGAAAGGTGGAAGGCAGCAGGAAAAGAGGAAGACCAAACACGAGAGCGACTGACTCCCTAAAGCAGTGGTTCCCAGATATTCTTGGACTGCAACTCCCAGAAATCCTGGCCAGCAGAGCTAGCGGCAAAGATGTCTGGGAGTTGAAGTCTAAGAACATCAGCAAGCATAGCACATATGGGAACGCATGTAAACTGGAGCTATAAGCACCAGTTGGGGATGGACAGAGGTGGATGCCAGGTTTTATAACCCCGTACAACAACAACATCATGGTCATGTGCCAAATGCTGAGAGGAGAGCTAATTCTGTCCCTCTCTTCAAAAAGGGTGAAAGGAGGAACTTGGAACTACAGGCCAGTCAGTCCGGCATCAGTCACAGGGAAAGTCCTGGAGCAGATTATAAAACCAAACTCTGTCTTCCCGCAAGGCTCATCATCCTGAGCTTGGTCTCCCTGCTTGGGGAATTTCCTGAGATTTTAGCCAGTGCCCTGAGACCTTGCAAACCTCTCCATAAAAGTTGGCTATTGAAAGAATTCCCCCATGGTGCCCGTTTCCTCCATATCAGTCCTTTGAATATTTGCGGAAATGAAACCAGTCATTTCTCTTCCAGACGCGTATGACAGAGTATGCTGTTGCCTAGCCTGGAAAGCTGATGCAGTGGTCGTAAGTGTAGGGTAAGTGACTCTGGCATTGCCTCAGCTGGAATTTTGTATCTACCAATTCTACGGTGGGCAAAGGCAAAATGCAGTTTATATGGAACATTCACTCCCCTAGGTGGCATTTCTGGTTGGAGTTATTTAAAATTTGCATACTACCTTCATTGAGTTTGGCTGGGAGGGACCTTTCTGGGCTGTCAACCAATCAAGCATTAACCATTTCCTTCCCTGCCTCTGATTTTCAAGAGAATTACACCTCTCTGTTTCATCATATTTCCCCCACCTCTCTTGTAGTCTGCTGGCCTTTAGTAGTTAGCAGGTTATGAAGTTAGAGTGCAGTGAGAAAATAATCCACAGAAGTCTGTTGGAAGCAGGCTGTGAATCTGTTGAGGCCTGTTCCTGTAAGCAGTCATTTTTGGTACAATATGCCGTTTCTGATTGGTTCAACTATGAGTGAACAAAAACTTTTATTCTTTCTCTTACCCATGTCTCAGAGTGAGTTATTGAGACTGTAAGTGCCAGTTGATTAGATGATAAGGGGTGGTCTACTCTGGGGAGATTTGAGGCTACAGTGGTGCCTCGTTTGACGAGGATAATTCATTCCGTTGAAATCGCTGTTAAGCGAAATCCTCTTCAAGCGAAACGAAAAAGCCCATTGAAATGCATTGAAACCGGTTCAATGCGTTCCAACAGGCTAAATACCTCAGCGGTCCAGCGAAGATCTTCCATGGGGCAGCCATTTTCGGTGCCTGTAAAACAATGAATCCGTCCTAAAACACAGCAGGGAGCCATTTTGCACAGTGGGCGGCCATTTTAGAGCCGCCGATCAGCTGTTTAAAAATCGTTGAAAAGTGAAAAATCGGTTCCTGAAGCAGGGAACTGATCATTGTCAAGTGAAATTTCCCTATGTAAACATCGTTTTGCGATCACAAAAGCAATTGCAAAAACTTCATCGTCAAGCACTTTTGTTGTTTAACGAGGTAATCGTTAAGCGAGGCACCACTGTAATTCTGCTTTGTAAATCCCTGCACTTCTTCTGTGCAGCTAGACGTTTTTAACCAAAGTTCAAAACTCTACAACAGTTCTCTGTGAGGAGAGGATTCCCTCCATCTGGAAAACAAGCACACCCGTTCTGAGAATGTTTGGGTGCAGGTGGTTTTACCTTTGAAAGATGGGATGGCCAAGAGGTAACCTTGTAGCCTTGCCATGAAAACGGGGAATATAATTTGATGGCTTTGTCTTTACAGGTACCGGCTAGCACCCGAGTACCTTTATCCGACGCAGTTTGAGGATTGCACCACCGCTGCGGAATACTTTATGAAGAATGTAGAAAACTATGGGGTCAGTCCTGCTCACATTGTGATTTGTGGGGAGAGCATCGGAGGAACGGTCGCCGCCTCCCTTGTCCAAAAGCTGACGAAGAGAACGGACCTCCCCAAAGTGCAGGCTCAGGTGTTGATTGCCCCTTTCCTCCAAGGTGTCAATTTTAATTTACTTTCTTACCAGCAAAACCGCTGGGTCCCTTTTATCGGCCAAGCAGATTTTCTATATTGCATTTTCCTATACATTACTAAGAACATGTCAATCGTTGACTTTGCCTTGGAAGAAACTCATATCCCGGAGGAGAGAAGGAAGGAATACGAGGAATGGCTGAATCCAAACCATGTTCCCAAGGAAATAAAAATGAGAGGTGATTACACCGAACACCAGATATCCCTTAACCCCATGGACCATGTCTATTCCTTGATGGAAGCGATCACGGGACCAACTCTGGCTCCACTTTTGTCTGAAGATGATGTCATTCAGCAGCTCCCCAAGACTTTCATTTTAACCTGTGAATTTGATGTCCTAAGAGACGATGGCCTTTTGTACAAGAAACGTTTAGAGAACAATGGTGTTCCCGTCTCCTGGTGCCACTTGAAAGATGGCTTCCATGGCGTGTTTCTTCTTTACAAGCGCTGGTTTCTAAATTTTACCTTCTGCCAAAGAGGTTTAGACAGCGTCGTGGAGTATGTCAAAAGCTTATAAAGTTCCGAGATTCACGGCATGGGAATCTTGTGTCTCGTTGCACTGAGGATGGGAATCCCCTTTCCTTCCCGCAAATGTGGGGGCCTCCCTCTCTCCCTTGCTTGCAAAAATTGATCAGCTATGGAAGGGAAGCAAAGATGGTCTTGGATGGAGAGCAATCCATTTCATGCAAAGAAAACTCGGGACTTAATCAGAAGATCATCTTGGATTGAGCTGGAAAGGGTTACTTTGCATGGTGCGATCCTTGTTGGGGAGTTCCCAACCTTCGGTCACCGAAGTGTTCTTGAACTACAACTCCCAGAAATCTCAGCCAGCACATCTGTTGCCGAAGGCTTCTGGGAGTTGCAGTCCAAGAATACCTGGGTGGCCCAAGGTGAGGGACCATAGCAAATTTCAAGTGACTTTTGTGTTCATATGTTACTGGTCTTTATTTCTTCAGCCCAGCTCCCAAAAACGAGCATCCTGCTGATGGCCCAGAAGGTCTAGATTGGGCTCCGAGCAGGTTCATTAGTTCCTGAACATCATCTGATCTCTATAAACCAGATCGAACCAGACTGTGTCCTGAGTACTCCATAAAGCGTCCTAAATCCCACCTTCAGACAGTTGAAGGTGACTCTTCTGCTATTATGCTGCCATGAAGTGCTTTCTTGTCAGACCTTCTCCTGGTGACTCTTGAGAAAGGTGCAAATTAATGGTGTTTTTTTTTTTAAATCAAGTTCAGTCTCACAGGCAAGGCAAACCGGTAGTTAGGGGGCTCCAGAGGGCTACAGACTATGTTTTAAAATTAATGGGTTTTTTTAAAATCAAGTTCAGTCTCACAGGCAAGGCAAACCAGTAGTTAGGGGACTCCAGAGGGCTACAGACTATGTTTTCCCAGCAGTAGACCAGAACTGAAGATTTACGTAGCATGCTCTTCGGGTTCCCTGCCCAGATGAAGCAAGAAAGCTTAGGCCCATCTACTGCACTTGAGAAATCTCTACTCCCGAGGAGCTCTTTTGCTTCCAAGAGTCCTCAAGAACAGTGGTCTCCAACCTTGGGCCTCCAGATGTTCTTGGACTTCAACTCCCAGAAATCCTGGCGGGCCCATCTACTGCACTAGAGAAATCTCTACTCCCGAGGAGCTCTTTCGCTTCCAAGAGTCCTCATGGATACAAGGAACCTAACTGCTTTTGGTTGCGATATGCGCAAGAATCAGGCATGAGTCAATTTCCCACGGGGTTCCTCTGGCAGTAAAGATCGTATACTGAATTAGCCAAGATATGGCAGGGACTATACAAGAATACAAGGAACCTAAATGCTTTTTGTTACAATACGTGCAAGAATCAGGCAGGAGTCAACTTCCCATGGGGTTCCTCCAGCAGTAAAGAGCATATACCGAATTAGCCAAGATATGGCAGGGACTATACCTGTTTCCCAAGCCACTCTTATGATTTGCATCTGTATTTGGGCTTGGAAAGTCAAAATGAACTGTGGGTGCATGGAAAATAAGCACACATAATGTGTGGCAGTGCATAACTTCATTTGTGATCGTGGCATAGATCTGTTAAGGCACCAGTCTTAACTTCCATCTCCCTGGCTCTGGTTGAGCATCTTAAACTGAATTTTCCTGGTTTTCAAGCACGAGATTCAGTTTTATAGCACCAAAGAGCGTGGGATATACTGATCAGGTACTTTCTTTGCTGGCAGAGAATCACCCCACCTCTCTCCTGAGAATCAGCTAAGGTAAAATGGGATGCAGGCTAGAAGTCATTTAAACAGGTTCAAGATTCCCCTTCATGTTTATACATGTTGCCGGCCTCTGCTTGCTGTTCAACATCCTGTTGTAATAAAAGTTCAGGAGAGAGCTCCGATTTTTGCTCAGAGGCTCTTTCTAGGGTGTGTCTCTTGCACGATTTATTTGAGTATTTTGAAAACCAAAGAAGAAGGGAAGCTCATAGTTGGGAATCAAGCATCACAACAGCAACAGCCAACAACAGAATCAATCCTTCCAACAGGATGTCCATGAGACAGAGGGTCCCTTACCCAAATATGAATGCTATGTATGTTGGAGTCTATTTCAGACATTTTGCAACCGGTTCGTACATAGGACAGCATTCATACAGCACTTCCCAGCTAACTCTGCAGTATTTGCACCATACAAAACAAATGTAAAGGCTGTTGATCTGCCTCTCTTTCTCTCACATACTCAAATGTTTAACTAGTCATACATATATACATAGATGTGGTGGCGCTGTGGGCTAAAGCACAGAAGCCCTTGTGTGCTGCAGGGTCAGAAGACCAGCAGTCGTAAGATTGAATACACGCGATGGAGTGAGCTCCCATCGCTTTGTCCTAGCTCCTCGCCAACCTAGCAGTTCGAAAGCGTATAAATGGGAGTAGATAAATAGGTACCACCTCGGTGGGAAAGTAAAATGGTGTTCCCTCGTCACGCTGGCCACGTGGCCATGGAAACTGTCTTCGGACAAGCGCTGGCTCTATGGCTTGAAAGCAGGATGAGCACCGCCCCCTAGAGTCGGACACGACTGGACTAAAAATGTCAAGGGGAACCTTTACCTTACATATATACATGAATCAATATGTCTACTTGTGGACCTCTGGCTCCACAGACAGAGACTTAAGCCAGTCCATTGTTTTATAATTGGAAAATTGCAGGTAAAGAGGAATTCAGTTTACAAGCCTGGTTACTGAGGTGGCCTCTCTGAGGAAGCCCCATTTTCAGATGGCATATGCGTCAATTACAGAGAATGAACATGTGTCAATTACAGGGATGGAATATGTGTCAATTACTGGGCAAAGAAGCTGATTTCCGATGGTCCGGGGCCCATTTTGTCCTGCTACAATTGTTCCTACATTCCAGACCCCTAGCAGTTTCCAACATCTTGGTCACTTCCAGTTTTTACATGTTTTTTTATTTTTTGCATAAAGCAGACTTTGGGGAGGGCAGGACAGCAATGACCCCAAATACATTATCCTTTTTGCCAAAGAAAAAGCTTCTAATGCAAAGAGAAAAGCGCCGAGGATTCCAGACTCTCACTCTTTCTCCCACTCTGCCGGTCAGACGTAAAACCAAATCATTTGGGTGAGTTAAGACATCTTGTTTTGCATTTCCAGGAGACAGGCGATCAGACCACACCTTTCCCAAACTTTCAAGAGCCAGCTAGGGTGGTTGCTTAAGGTTTGTTATCATCCCAGTTAAGTAGGTGTTAAATTTATCTGTGCTGAAAGTTTCTGATTGCCCAATAGATAAGCCATCAGATTTCTTGGTTTCTTTGGAGGGAGATAGAGAGAAAAATTGCATAAAAAAGAAGTGAGTTGGAGCTCAACCTTTTCTTACTTTACCTGTTACGATAAATATGGGAACCTGTTTTCCATCACAAGAACAACAACAATGAGGAAGTGACTAGTTACTTTAAAACTGTCTCACACTCACACAGAGACAGGGTTCAGGAACATGAATGTAAATCAAGCAGTCTTCTGTGAACCATTCAAGATTCTTTCTACTTTAAAACTGTCTCACACTCACACACAGACATGGTTCAGGAACATGAATGTAAATCAGTCTTCTGTGAACCATTCAAGATTCTTTACTACAAAAGAGAAAGAAATAGAAAATGAAATCTGGTGACTAGAAAGTATCTGTAATGTGGAAGAGTCACATCCTTCTGAAGTCAGTAAATTGAGTACCCAGTTGTTGGGCGGGGGGGGCAGGACTTTGTAGCCCTGCGTAATTGAATTTTAAGCCACCCAGAGACAGTTATAATTGCTATGGAGCGGTTTAAGAGCAGCACACTTTGTTTATGTTGATATATTATCCAAGATGTCTGATTCATACATTTCAGTCCTACCTTGCATTATAGCCCCTGACTGCTTGTGCTACATTTTGCCTAAGTATTAGAACAGCTCCAGTTCTTCCAATTTTGTCATTTCCATAATAAACGTTTTGTAGTTGTCTGATTGAAAATGCCATTGCAGTTTACTTTAGTTCACTCATGCCAAGCATTTTTTTCTTCAAAAGTGACCAAAACTGTTCCCTTTCATTTTCTTTAAACATCAGAACCAAACACGCTGCTGAGATGTGTTGGAAACAGGTAGAGTTTTGGTAATCTCTGTCATTTGGCAGTTTATTGCTACACAAGGCAGAGATTCTCTCCCTGTTTTTCCCCGGCGTGTTGTAAGCGCTCAGGACGTCTATGGAGTGTTGCATGAAGAACAGGGTTACAAGATACTGGCTCCTTGATTTAGAAATATAAATAAAGTAGCTACACACACACACACACACACAAAACATGAAGTTCACTTTTAATGAGTTTTACAATTGTGGATTAACAGTTTAATAAATAATGGACAGTGGCCACAATCATTTTGCTACATATGTAATAGTTAGAGATAGTGTCTATTTATTTATTTATTGGCCTAAAAAGCCCATGATTCCTGGGAGTTCTACCTGATAGACGTACACCTTACAGTCATCCAGGTGTAGCTCACCTGGGAGAAAAAGCCTGAGATGGTCAATGGTCAGGATTAGAGATGGGGAAATTTGTATTCATATTACGAATACCCCCATCTCTAGTCAAGATGGATGGAGGTTATTGCCCAGGATAGGTCTCTTTTTGTGATAATCTCTAGGCGAAGGATTTATTTAAAATACTTTTTACCCTGCTTTTGTCCTTAAAGGGTAGTTTACGTCTTTAAAAGACAATATTTAAAAGCTAAAAACAGGATACAAATATTTTTAAAAGATCGCGCAAATATCACACTAAAAAGGTGGTAAACAAAATCAACACAGAAACACATTAAAATAACCAAAGCACCACCATTCATTTTAGGCAAAGCTTTCCTGAAGAGAAAGGTCTTTGCCTGCTTGTGGAAGGACAGCGAAGCTGGTGCCAGGCTGGCCTCCAGTGGGAAGGAGTTCCACAGTCTGGGAGCATCTACAGAGAAGGCCCCTCTCCTGTGTCCCTTCAGACAAACCTGTGAAAATGGTGGGACTGAGAAAAGGGCCTCTACGGATGATCTTAACACATAAGCTGGCTCATAATGGGAGATCCAGTCTTTGAGATAGCTTGGGCCCAATCCATTTAGGGCTTTATAGGTTAAAACCAGCACTTTGAATTGTGCCCGGAAATGGATCAGCGGCCGATGGAGCACCTGGAACAGGGGGTTTGTATGTTCCCTGTAATCAGCTCCAGTTTGCAATCCAGTTGCTGTGTTTTGCACCAGTTGACACTTCTGAACATTTTCCAAAGGCAGTCCCTTTGGCTGCACGCACTGATGATGATTACATATCCTGGTAACCCATCCCTCGCAAACCCAAGGGGACATTCAGCTGCTTAATCCCGGGTTCGCTGACACAGAGAGCATAGCGAAACCTTTCTCAGCTTGGCACCCTTGAAATGCAGTGGGCTACAAGAGCCGTCATGGCAGCCCAACATGGTCAATGTGCAATATACAAGTTTTGTTGGTGGTATCATAAATGGTGTTTGAGGAAACCCCTGTTTTCCTGATGCCTGCCATGGGTATCTGCCATGTCACAGACTCTTACCAGGTGGCCCACCAGGGACACCTAACACCCTCAGGCTGGGTTGTTTCTTCTGACCCATCCTTAGGTTCTGTCAATGCGGGAGCCGTTCTGCGAGCAGGTTGGGAATGGTTACCCTCAACATTTGAGCCTTTCCTTACTTGGCCTGGTTTCAATCCTCTAATTAGTATTCGGGAGTGCAGGGAATCAGCTTGATCTTGGTCGTTTCATAATTTTGCTGCCTGCTGAAACAAACAAAGCCCTTTCATAGCGGGGCAGATGCATGAACGAACATGCTGTGAAGCTCCTGCCCTTCCCAGACACAGCATTCCCCTGTAAACGGAATGGATTTTCTGTGGATGCTCCTCGTCCTCGCAGGAGAGTTTGGGATTCTCTTTGAACTTCTCCACCTGGCATGGACCACCCATTACTATCTCTCCAACACCAACATCCCCCACGCCATTTGCCGACCCGGGAAACTGAAACTCTCATATTTCGTCTTGATTTGGCTATTTTCGTTGGTAAGTGGGCAGCCTTTGGCTCACCGTCTGGAGCGGAGAAAATAGAGTAGAAGGCTGTTGGATTTTTTGTTTTGTTTAGTAGGATGTATCTTGTTTCCTTGTAACCCTACACCATGAAAGGCAAAGACTCATAGCCAAAAGCTTGGAAATAATTTTTGGACCACAGCTCCTAGCTAGGAGGGATGAATGAAAAGATGAATGAATCAATCCGTCAGTCCCCCATGACTACTTTAGCTGGAGAGGGGCAAAGAGGTGGTGGCATCAGACCAGGGGTTCCTCTACATTTTCACGTGGTGGATGCCTAGATCCCATTCCAGAACCTCCCCAGTGCAAATAGGGCACCATTGCTTCTGCCTCTTCTCCTCCTGCACAGGTGGGCATCCGGGCTCATCCTAGGGGCTGCACCTGGGCAAAGGGCACAGTGTTAGACACGATCCTAGCTGGCATGCAGGGAGACCTACCAGCCAAGGAGAGGGAGAAGGAGGTGGTGATAAAGGATGAGAGGATTCCACGGCAGCCCTGGGTGGGTCTGGTGGCACCCCAGGGTGCTGCAACACACACATTGGGAACCAGTGCATTAGACTTAGTAAAAGCTTATTTTTGGGAACCCTTGGGATTCTTAGGTGTCATCAAGAATGGTGACCCTAACAGGGTTTTCAAAATATTACCATCAAGATGCACACCACGTATGGTGACCCTAACAGGGTTTTCAAAATATTTTGGGGTATTTAAAACATGTTTCTACAAGGGTCGCTTCATCTGCTGACTCTGTCCATCACAGAGCTGTTTGGCCAGTGCTCAGCCGTCAGGTGAGGAAGGAACCACCACCGTTTGATCCCCTGCTCATTTTGGCCTGATGTCGGAGCTCAGCTTTCAGTGGGCTTGAGTGGTAATCTGAACCGAGGTCTCCTCGTCCGACGCTCTATCCACTTCACTGTATTGGCTGTCACTTCTGAAAAAGCACTCCCAGAACCCCATGGGTGATAACGGGGCATTGTCGTCCACAATGTAACTTTAACATGTTCTGGAATGAGTTATGCATCAACTTCCTGCTTCTGTCTGCTGGATTGTTGCTTTAGCCTGCTCAAGAAATACCCTGGCTTCTTTTAATGGGCACTGTTTTTCACTGGTGACATAATGCATTGTACAACGTGTTCTATTATCTCCACTTTCTGTTTCTCTCGAACCTTTTACCCCTTTCTGCATCTGAATTTCCCTACTGCTTTGCTTTCTCTCGCTCGCTCGCTCCTGTTTCTCTTGGAAAGTTTCTTTAGACTTTTGTAGTTGTAAAGACCAGAAGTTCTGCAGAGCCTCCATGCTGGATAGCTCAGTGGTCTCTGGGTGCAGGGCCAGAGGTTGGGAGTTTGAGCCCCCCCCCCACTGGGCCTCCTTGACAGGAGCTGGTCTTGATGATCTATAGGGTCCCTTCCATTTCTAAGATTATTGTCCGATTGGCACCCACTTTGTCAGATGCATAACTTGTCTGATGCATAACTCAGTCAACAGACTCATATATGTGTCAGATTAAAGCTGTTATCTTAGAAAAATCTTAGAACTGTAGAACTGGAAGGGACCCAATAGATCATTGAATCCAATTCTTGTCAAGGAGTCCCAGTGGAGAATCGAACTCCCAACCTCTGGTTCCACAGCCAGAGACCTAAATCACTCAGGTATCCAGCCAGCACAGTGTGTAAAAGTTCATGCCAAATAATATCTGTTAGGGGCCGGTGGGAAAAAGCAGTTAACATGTCATTTAAAACACAGCTTCCTTAAAAGGAATAGACTGTCTGTTTACTCAAACAGGAGCTTGTCTCAATCTGTATTTGGCAAATGAGCTTTGACATAATTTTTTTTTTCACATGTTGTGCGATTCCTTAGGTAGTAGGAGAAATATTAGTTGAATTTTTTCTCTTTTGTCTTTTTATAAATACATTTAACATGTAATATCAGGACCGGCCACTAGAGGGAACTGGAAGGCCACTAAGACTGTCAACAGAGCAGATGGTCAGTCACTGAGGTTCTGTGCTCCATTTTTCATTTTTGAAAGAAGTACAGTGGTGCCTCGCATTACGACGTTAATTCGTTCCAGCGAAATCGCTGTAAAATGAAAACGTAATGCGAAAAGAAAAAGCCCATTGAAATGCATTAAAACCTGTTTAATGCATTCCAAAGGGCTTGAAACTCACCGTCCAGCGAAGATTCTCCATAGGGCGGCCATTTTCGCTGCCTGTGCAGCGAGGAATCCATCCCAGAAAACAGCAGGGGGCCATTTTGTTTACCCGGCGGCCATTTTCAAACCGCCGATCAGCTGTTGGAAAATCATTGTTTTGCAAAGAATTGGAACCGATCATTGCAAAGCGAAATTCCCCCATAGGAAACATTGTTTTGCGATTGCAAAAACTTCATCGTAATGAGGTTTCATCGTTAAACAGGGCAATCGTAAAGCGAGGCACCACTGTATATATAAACCAAAATTTCAGCAGCGACTCCATAAACATACACATGAATTTTGATGCCATATAAAGCATATTCTCATTGTTTCATTCATTTCCCTGAATCACTTTGCTTATGCTTGGATGAAAT